TGTCCGGCCCCTTGAATACTTGAACGTTCAAAGGACTGAGTTACTTTTACAAAAGTGTCCGCTTCTGGTCGATAGTATTTAGGTTTTATCTCTCTGCATATACGACAATTCAGGTCTGTTCTCTTAATGTCTTCCATTGAGTCAGGTGAATTACGGACTTTCGAAAAAAATTTTCGTTGTTGACTTTCGCAAATTATTTTCAATTTGGCTTTTACATTTGTGGCGTAAATCAAACATGTAACTGACACTTTTTTGGTCTGTTTTCAGGATGAAACACCTTCCTGTTAAAAAAAAGGGGAGAACGAATGGAATATTTTCATCAACGGCAATACGAACAGCCTTATTTATTAACTGCTTCAGTTCGTGTTAAAAGTTTCAAAAGCAGTTTCAGTAAACGGAAAAGAGGTCAATTTTGTTAATGATCTGATTCTGTTCGAAAAGTCAGGAATCCATATAGAATAGTATGAAAGGAATCCGAGATACCTGCTTAATACTTTAGAATTTGATGGGATTGAAAGTTGGCGTGAATGTTTTGATTTTTCGGGATCTGGACGAATTTCGCCTTTGACAATTTGATATCCCAAAATCGGCAATGGTTAGGTCGACCATAATACTTTTCAATTCATTAAAAATCAATCCTCGTTAAAATACTGTTTTGTAGATTCCAGGAAGGCAGTCAGGTTTTCATGGTGGTCTTCTTTAGTCATCCCACAAATAGTTATGTTATCTAAATATGGAAAAAACACGCAGTTTATCTTTTACCACGAGTTGCTTTATTATTCGCTGATAACCAGGGCCTCGTTTGTTATCCCAAAAGGCAGTCTTGTGAATTGGTATACATCTCCTTCAAACGCAGTAAACTCTCTTTCTTGTTGTTCAGTGGAACTTGATGATAAGTACTTGTGAGATCAACGGTGCCAAAAACTCGATATTGCGCGATTTCATTTACTGACTCTGAATTAGTAACAAACTCAGAAGTTTCGCAGAAGCTGAAAATAACATGATGCGGGGTTAAGTTGCTGCTTTTCAGCTTTTGTCCCGTTTCGTTAAACAATATTCACTACAATGCATTCTGCAATGATAAAGTATGAGAAGAATCTTTCAGGGGTCAACGGTCAGGAAAAAGTCCAAACTGCCACCAGGTAAGTTTGCGATAGCTAGAAGTCATCCTGTACAAGGAATAAAAGTTCCAACAGGAAGACTATTGATCAGCTAATATAAAAATATATATGTTGTTATGTACTCTCTTCCTAAAGCCCAGCGCAAAATAACTTGATAGTGGTAAGCACCATTATTTATATACAACTTGATAATGTAGTATGTTTCTATTACTATTATCTTATTTAAAGTAATATACCTCAGAAGTATAAGGAGTGTGACAGAGTAAACCAATCGTAATAAGGGGACGTGTTGCGAAGAAGGTTTATGAACCACTGTTTTAGACTATTGAATGTAATGAAACTTAAAATGTCAATCTTTTAAAAATATATATAATACATATTCGTGCGTGTCATCTATTGTCTGGCTATTGAACAAAACATCTGAAGAGCTTGATTGATTGAGCTAATTAATTCTTCAGAATTTCGTTAAAAATGAGTATTAAATGGAGTTAGAGTTTGCATTGCACGTAATACAAAATATAATAAGCCACGTAAGTCACATATTTTCCAGTCGCTTGCAAAATTATTGCAGCCATTCTTTTATGAAAGGCGTTGATAAAGTATGTAAAGTACATAATTGTATTTATGAACATTATGACCTACAAACATTGATAACATAGAAATATTAAGGAGTGGTAATCAAGCTTAAAAAAACTGTAACATAATGTGCTTATTGGACTGTTATTTTGTTTTATTTTAGTATTTATTGCAATACAAGATGTTAATAAATCTTTCATCTTGTAAAACAGGGGTGGGCGAGGTTTTTGAACCAGTGGCCAAAAATTTTGGTCACTTAGACTGGCGGGCCATGTAAATGTGACGTGAAAAGTTACATTTTATGAACAATATTTACTTACAGTGTTACAAAGCAAAGGTGGAGAACGATAAGCCTCGTGCCTTAACCGCAATCTCAACAAATTCCTTGGGCTATTTTGGCTGAAACAGCAAAATTTGATTTCAGTTTAGTTGTGGCAGCATCAGGCGGGCCTGGTTGAATTATACCAACGGGCCTGATTTGTCCCGCGGTCCGTACTTTGTCCATGTCTGGTGTAAAACATACTATACATCTCTTTCACAAATTTTTATCATTTTTATCGCTTATTGTCAAGATTTACCAGAAATTTCCCACAGGTTCTTATTTTCTATTTCTTGGGAATGTTTGATGCTTGTGAATATTGATAAAGCTCCATGCACACAATAAATGCGTAGTATAGCCTCGGGGAAATCACGAAACAATTTTTTCACTTCAATTTCGAATGCCATGTTGTGCTTCCCTGTGGACGGGTTTAGTAACATCGTTTTATACATAGTGTTCATTAGCCACTCAATGTGAGTGAGGAGTTCAGGTATTTTTACATAAGCAAAGAATTGGACATATTGTATACAGTATTTGGATACAAACTGAAATTTTCCAATCAGTATATATTGGAGGTTTGAGATCGAGATGAGAAATAATGCAGATTTAGTTTATAGATTTCTTTATAAAAACTAATACAAAGAGTCTAGAAATGGGTGACATGTTGACATCCATGCTATGTAACCAAAAATCAAAAACTGCCATCAAGCTAAAACGCCTTGTGGGCGTTTGCGATACCTTGGGGGCGCTGATGGCGATTTGGGCAATTGGGGGGCGCTGGATGTTAAACTGGGCAATTTGGGGGGGCGCTGACATCAATACGGGAACTCAAAAGAAGTGTGATAGTTTATGTAATTTACTCCTATGTTTTGGTTCAAACTAGTTTGCTTGTGATTTCGGTGTTGGAAATTTCTCGCTAAACGTAGAACAGATATTATGACTTTTTTTCAGATCCGTTTTGTTTCATAATATTACTTGTCTAGCGCATACGGCATACGCTTCCTTCACCATGCACTGCAAGTTTTGTTGTACTGTTTTGAATAACAGCTTCATTTTACTATTGTGTTCTATAGTGTTTCAAAGCGGCAGTTTAAGTACAACATCCTTCATATTATAATTTTGGTTTTGTTAAGAGCATCACGTGAGAGCTGGGCATCTGATTGAACTGACGCACGCCAAATAGGACCATCTCCAGGTTGCGACTTAACAGATTCATTTCTATTTCTTGAGTCATTGAATAATAAGGCTACATAAGTAATACACAAATTGGCAAACGGCAAAGACCTAGCCTGTTGTTAAATCATGTTGTGACTGAAATTGTTTGATGTCGGTGTATCATTTGTGTTGCGTAAGTTCAAAATATCGAATACAGTGACTGAAGCAGCACATTTAAACTGATTTATATCAAAAACTGTATTATACATCGTGGTCTCCAAAAAACTTAGCCATCAAATTCTCGATTACTTCTACAAAAATAAAGTAATTATTCATTTTTTTCTAAGCTTGAACTAATGTTTGTGTATGTTTGTACCCAAAATTGTCGGAAAATCTGGGACGTTTTGCACAAAAATATGTTGTTCCTAGAATATATATGTTCCAAATGCCCTCATCGGTATTGAAGAAAGAATTTCATTCTTTTTGCAACATTGTCAATCACTCTTCTTTGGGCATTTATTTCATTTTTTTTCTGCGATTGCAGCCTTGAGTTCACTACTCGTTTGAGGATTGTCCTGATACAAAGGTCCCACGAACACCCTACCTATCAAAAGGTTTAAATTCGATAATTGGGGTGCCCACGGGATGTCATTGCTGTCTTTTCTCTCAGAAAAGCAAGCGTCTGATTCTATGTATGGGACGTCGCCTCGTTATGCTGGAACCACTGCCGGTCACCGCTATCAATTCTTTTTTCTTGGCACAACTACGTAATGTTCTGTATTCACCATTTGAACTCTTTCATTTCGTTCCATGTCCTGCGCTTCAGCAGAAAACTAAGTGGTTGAAAATTTTGCAAAACTTCTGAGAAAATCATACGCAAACAGAAGTTCAAGCGCAAATAAATAATTTTTTTGAAGATAGTTGAAAAAAATTTGGTTTCCATTTTCTAGATAACCCCGAATTTTTGGAAGCGAACATGCACCACTATCATTGGGTTTATACTTTGAACCCACGTTCAGTCTTTCAGTATTCCATCTTTTTGGGAACACAATCAAATTGAAATATACTCACCTGTGAGATCGGGTTAAATATTGCTCTTGCTCTTGCCAGCTCATTATTGGTAGAGCATGTATTTAGGGCAGTGACAGCACTTTTACATATCAAGAGAGATTTCCTCGACAGTGTCAGACGAGGAGACTCAGGACTTGTTTTTGACTGAAATGAAGCCAGATATTATCAAACTGGTTTGATATTATCAAAAGTTTGGAAAACACTAAGCTAAAACTTAGGAGTCAAGTATTTTTATTTTTCTCAATGTCATCCGAGGATAAAATTTCCAGTGGACTTCAATTTTGAGCCAAACAAAAATTGGAACATGCCTTGATCATGCGTTGAAAAATATTTCATTTCTAACCCCATGATAGCTAAAGTTTACAACGAAAACCTTCTGCTTTTGCAAGCTTTTCTCATATTTCGACTCTGCACTCCTGAAAATGCAGTTAAAATATAATTTTTTTTTTCAAAAACTCAATCAAACAACCAAGCAGGCATATGCTTATAATGTAACCGCACAATTTGAGTATATTTTCAACTCTTTTACTCATGATTCATTATATATTTGAACTTTACACAGCGTATTTTGTAGATCAGCGTTTCCCAAACTGTGTTCCGCGAGAGCCTTCCGTGTGTTCCGTGGAAAAGGGTCGAAATTACGACTAAATTGGTCGCCATGGCGATTTAGTATGTGTATTCATTTCAAATAGAGTGAACATTTAAAAATTAAACAATCACTATCATATGTACATTTTTATATTTCTAGATAATTCTTTTTGACTACAATAGCTACTAGTTGACTTTAGTATACAATTTATGACATAAGAAAATGAATATCGACGAAGCATTCCATCAATTGGGGAAGTGGGGACGTTATCAATCAGTGATTTTTATCATTGTGTTTGCCGCTTCCTTACCAAATGCTTTTACGACGATGCAGTTCGCCATCAACCATTTCCAACCAAGCCATCGATGTAGATTATCTGATGAAATTGAAAACATATTGAAAAACGTAAGTTCCGACATGTGACATACAATCATTGATAAGCAAATCTCGTTATTGAGCAACGAATTTTATTTGCCCTATAGGACTAAACTTGCCTTTTGACAGAATTGAAGTTCGAGAAGTACAGAAATGTTATAAATTGCATACCAATTTGACTTAATATTTTTTTTATTCCCACACAAGCAACTTCGATAAATGACTGAATCTTTTTCTCAGAACTCAAACAGTGATGAAAATCTGCTCGACTATTTTATACCCATGGAAACCGATAATTACGGAAAATTAAGTAAAAGTAAATGCCACATGTATCACAGAAATTATTCTACAGCACTCTCTCTTATAAACCTCAATGAATCTGTTGACATCATACCATGTACGAATGGATACATATTTGATATGTTGCCGAATCATGATACTGCAGTTACTGAGGTATGTGATATTTGTTTTGAATTTGGCATTTTCTTCTATTTGTGATTGACTTCTTTTATTCGTACTTTTCATGTACTCAACTTTAAAATTTAATTTCTATATTCTGATATCCAGTTTGAAATGATTTGCAACAATGACTGGAAAGCACCACTAGCAATTACAGTTTTTCAATCGGGAATGGCAAGTGGATCAATAGCTGGCATACTTGCTGACAGGTATTTTCGTTGTTCTGCCAACGAGCACTAGATCGAAAATATTAGCCACTCGAGGAATAACTTCATTTAAAGGACTGCTATAATTTCCCTTACTAGACTATGTGGCGTAAATAATATCGTGTAATCGATCAATAATATATTGCCAAATTTTGAAGGTATGGTAGACGGCCAGTGTACTTGTTCGCCACTTTGGCTCAGATAATATCCATGGCTATTACGGCTGCTTCTTGGGATTTCTATTCATATTTGGTTGCTGTATATTTTGGTGGGATGACAGGACTTATCAATTACGTCGTTGCTTTTGTACTAGGTAAGATTTATTTCTGAGCATGCATCAGTGTGTTTGTACTTTTTTTTTTCGGTATTAAAATTTCACAATATTTTTTTTTATAGTGACCGAAGTTATTTCGATTAAGTCAAGAAATTTCATGGCTGTTGGTTCAATGTATTCATATTCCGTTGGATATGCTATTGTTCCCTTGATTGGATATTATGCGCAAAACTGGCGTGCTTACATATGGGTATCCATGGTACTCAGTGTCTTTCTATATCTACCGGGCTACTGGTATGTATGTCTGTACTATGTAACACTCGACAATTTATCATTATTTATTTTGTATTATAATTTAACATTCAGCTCTTCTTCTATTTCAACCATTGTAAATGTATGTTTAAACGTTCGTAACTGTTAATCCTTATTTTCCTATCTTTTTAATATCACTTTTTCAAGCAATATGGAGTCTGGGGAATGTTTCATCCTCTTCATATCAGAGTTATCTTAAAACCCTACAATTGTACCATGCCTAAATTCAATTCTTGATCTTATTCCAGTTTCGAATTTAAAACAAAACAGCCGACTTAAAATCGCCAAATTTTTTTTTTACACAATATCCCAAACATTAGCACAAAAACATTTCATATGAAAGTATAAAAGTAGCGATTAATAACATGAAATCAGTTCAACTTTAAAATCATCACAGTGTTTTTTTGCACGTTTTCATAATATCTTGCAGGTTTTTTCCCGAATCACCACGTTGGCTATCAACAGTTGGTAGAACAAATGCTGCGATCGCAGGACTGAACAAAATGGCAAAGATGAACCGAAAGAAGGTTGATTTCGAAAGATTGAGAAAAGTACTGTAGTTTATTATTTATTTATTACTAATAATTATCAACGCATGAAAAGCTCGTTATTTTACGAAACTTTGTACTTTAAGACACATATAGCTGATTCTCGCGAAATACCGGCATCACCCATGGGGCTAATAGAGACGCTTCGCATAATTTTCAAATCTGCATTAACCTACAGATTCCTGTCAGCTTTTTTTGCATGGTAAGTAAAATATTTTGTTCACAGAATAATGAATATTGTCATGGCGTCCGAGGATGGAAGTTCAAGCAGAAATAAAATAAAAAAAGGGATTTTTGCACAAAAAAGTCACTGATGTCACATCACTTTTAAGTTGTTGAAGGAAAGGACTAGTAAATGTCCGGTTTGAGATATTCAAGGATTCGCCTTTGCAATAGAATTTCAATTTATTTAATACCACATAATATTAATTTGCTTTATATTTTCTCAAGGTTCGTGACAGGTCTCGTTTACTATGCAATAGCGTTCCACTCAAAAAGCTTCAGTGATGATCGCTACCTGAATATATTGTATTGCGCACTTGCTGAAATTCCTGCATATGTTTGTGGTTATTATGCTGTTAACATGATCGGTCGCCCAAGATGCACTACTTTTTTTCTGCTAACTTGCGGAGTTTTCACCATTATTTTGCCATATTTGCCTGAAGGTTAGATTTTTTTCTACTTTTTTTCCGAATAAATACTTTTACTAGGTTGGCATTGCGTATGTGGCTGTATAAACGTACGTTCCACTGTAGGCAGCATTCACACAACGAGCTGCGTTCTTGTTTGGAAAACAATCCATTGGCGACGAATTTTGCGCAAGAAAAAACGATATCCGACTTTATAGTCCCAACCATGAAATATCTGTAATTAAAAATGCGTATGAAATCAACTATGTGATGTTTTGATCAATTGTTGAATGATGATGATTGCTTTGTGGCTGAGTTTTGGTTGTTGTGAAGCGCATGAGTGAACCAAAGCGAATCGAATATTCGAACATCAAAGTATTCAAATACTTTTTCGGCTAATTTTTGAATAATTCAGAATAATAGCCACTTTTCGTCGTCAGCACGGTATTTCGTAAACGAATATTGACGCTTTGTCACGTATTATAATGACGATAAAATGGAATCGGCACTCTGATTGTTTATCTTCTGTGCGAGCGTGCGCCGCATATTGTTATGACAACTTTGTAAAAATTGAAATTTATGTGAAGCCGTAGTTGTTACGATACCAAATATTTAAGTCCATGACCAATAAAAGCATTTAAAATGCCTTATCGTATTAATTTAATTTTGTTCAATGTAACTCATGGTTGCGTTGATTTACGAAGAAATAAAAAAAAATTACTAATCCACAATATCACAGCAATCTGCGGACATAAATTGCCATGGTAAATAGGCAAGTTGTCGATAACAGTTATTCCATTGTTTGTATGCAAATTTCATCACACACTAATTTAAGCTTCTTTTACTTGATTTTATTTTCGAAATCTATAATATTTCATATTCGAAAATAATAATTTCGAATGTAAACAAAATAGTTTCCAGAGATTAAATGCATTAATTTTCAAATTGAAGATTAAAAAATTAAGTATCCCATGAAATCAATTTGAGAATGATTTTCTTCTCCAGTTTTTCTGCTTCGTTGCAATTAAAAAGTAATACCTCTCAATTACATATGGATGATTGAGAATCAATACCTGAAAGCTCAAACCCGACAGTTGTCTCGATCGAAAACTGTTTGCGTCAGTTAGCATATTAAAGTATCTAATAAAAAGTCTTTACTAAATTTACTATGACTATATTCTTCATTTTTAGAACTATCCCTGCTCAGAACAATAATTTCAATAATCGGGAAAGGTGCCGTAAGCGCAGTATTTTATATCATCTTCTTGAGCACGTCCGAAATAGCCCCCACTTTACAAAGAAGTGCATCAATGAGCATAGCATCTTTCTGTTGTCGTGTTGGAGCGTTTATCGCGCCATTTGTAATGTTTTTGAGTAAGTACAGCAATATCGTAGTGTATGATGATGTTTTCCAAAATTCGACTTGGTTCAGCTTTTTATTAAATATAGTTTTTGTAGTTCTGAATTACCATGATCTTTTCTTATACTATTTCTCTCTGCCCGACGTTTGTACGTGATGACATAATATGTAAATCTACTCCACTGGTTTGATCGAAGTGATTTTTACTTATTATGCACTATAAGTAACAGAATATACGCAATTTAATTTCAACAGATAAAATTGAATACTCCATACCTTATTGGATAATGGGGGGGATAACTATTTTGAGTGGAATTATTGTTATCATTTGCATTCCGGAAACACTCGGAGTGAAAATGCCAGATACAATCCAGCAAGCTGAGAATAACAAAAGGTATCTGATTATGATCTGCTTAGGTATTCATAATGAGTGTAATTGGTAATGTATTTACATTATTTTATTTTAAGTTAGATTAAAGATTGCGTAATTCCAGCCGATGTGGTAGATTGGACTTTTAACCAAATTTTGACAAATATTTTACAGATTCTATGGTTTCAATATATTTAAAAAATTCACGCCAACTACAGACAATAATCGAAGGGATGATAATTATCTGATGAAAGAATTGGCAACTTCGTAAACGATTGCCATCATGATTTATTTTCTTCGAACTATTTGAGTTTGGAAATTTGAGGACCCAGTGATTTGGATAATGGCGATATTGTACGTCTTCTGAGGAATAAGAAATAAATTTACTGGCTCATATTTTACACTAATTTATACTTTTCATGTAAAAATTAGAGATAGAAAAATACCAAACAATATAACGTTTGTTTACTCATGGCTAAGATATGTACTTTGGTTTAATTATTTTTATTATTAAATATTGCATTCATTTCTTCAATGACATTATTGACTACGAACTAGTAAAATTTCAATCCCTCAACTTAACATATGATATTATGACAATACTTTAGGCTTCCACCACCTCAAAGTTTTGAATGCAAGAATCTGGCTTCAGTGCCAGAAATTATTTCTAATCATCATTTAATCAAATGAGAAAGTAAAAAGTGATATTTTATCACTTGGTGTAAAATTTCTACTATTTTCTAATGCTTATCGAATAAATTTATTCTTACCGATAGCATTTAAAATAAATGATATGATTTGGCAAACATCTTAAACATATAAGTTTGAGAACCAATAGCCCGTCTATCATGTGTCCGACTTGGGAGTATTTTTGTTTGAACAATTCCGCTATTAACCCTACTTGACGATTTTTTTAAGTAAACAAATTACTTTCATTGTCGAACTAAAGTATATACCTCCAAGCTATAGCATTTTTTAATTGAAAAATAATTCGATAATTTATATCCAACACGCACTCATGGCGATGCACCACTTTGAGATAGTGAACAACTAAAATATATTATTAGCGCATACTCAGGTCCAAGTGTAAAACGGAAAAATTCAGCTAGCTCGGGAAGATCATTAGAATGAAAATTGGGAATTACTTTTCATCCTTTTTTTTGACAGTGGTTATTTGGCAAATTTTGAAAAATAAAGAAAGAATAGACTGAAACGAATTTTGTTCCTCCTAACTAATTTGTTAGTTGTTGCTGACTAATTTGGTTATATATTGGACTCTTAAATCTAGATTCTAGCTAGATGATATAAAAATATATAAATCAGAAGACTCACGGCTCATTAAGTATTTATTGTCGAAAAAAGAAAGCTCTTAATATATAATAGAATCAGGGAGAAAGATCAGGGATAGCTGTTAGAACCTCTGTGATTGAAATGCCACAAATTGGTCGAATCTATACCATCTATATTAAACCCCAAAATAACGTACAAGAATTAAGAATACGTGGAATGACACAAAAACGATTAGTAAAATGATATAAAAACTCAGAAGTTGGCACAAAATATGTTATTAAAATATGTTAACCAGAAAAGGCACTTAGTCCGATGACAGTGTTCCCGCTTATAAAGTTTTAGTTACGCTCTGGTTTTAACCCTTTCGTTATTTTTGTAGTTCCACAAAAACAAATACACTTGTTGGGATTGGTTGGCGGACACACCCACTAACCCAGGGGTTTCCAACACGCGGCCCGCCAGACAATTTTTTGCGGCCCGCGCCATGATTAAGATATCCAGAATAAACTAAATTAGTATGACGTTAACAATGAATTTTATCGTGTTCGTATTTTATCGTTGAAGTGTGCAGTTATGAATCATTAATTCTGTATGTGTGCAGTTAACGCAACTAGAATATTATAAAAAAATTTTTAGTAGTAGACCCATACGCAGTTCCCAAGAAGTGTAAATGTTCGGAAAAGCACAGAATATTGTGAAATTATAATATCAAGGTTCAGTGTTTTCTGTGTTGTGCAATTATTGCTGTTCAAAAGAACCCGCTCTCTCGTTTGAGCCCATTTAGCGCCACCAAATGTTTCATATTTTGAGGTCAGCCATCTTTGTTTACATTGGTGTCGGTTAAAATGTGATGTCGGTAGCAGTGGGATTTTGTCGGGATTTTTTGGGTATAAAGCTTTACACCAGAGAGTCGAAAAAAATCACAGTAAGAGGCCTTTATGCGTACTTTCATTTGGTAAAAAGATTTTTGCCGAACAATTTGTTGTTTACTGCTGACGCCAGTTTTCCCAACTGTCACTAAATCGTCCCATCCGTCCATGTTTTCCAGTTTAAGTTGTCTTTCATAAACCAAGACACTTGAAAGTAAAGAGCAGAAATAGGAACATAAACTAATATGTTTTGAGTATGTGTAACTCTGTTTATATAAATTTATATATAGTGATGTTTAATTGGTTAAAAAATGTCTTTTCCTCTAAACCTGATAATATTTTGATCAAGTTTTGCTTCCGATATTGACTGGCAAAAGTAATGTGCAGAAATTTCTTCAAATTGTTTAGTGGTAGAAGTAATTTATTCAAATAGTGTAAAATGGATGAGAAGGAGACTTGGAGAATCCGCTTTCCACCTAGTGGGAATGTTAGCGAAGACAGTGACTGCAGCGGTAGCGGAGATGAATATGTACCACCGAAAACGATTAGAGACTATGCCTTGTTGTCAGAAAGTTCAGATGACGAAGCAGTTAGTCAGGATATATCCGTCGACCAGGGAGGATAAAGTGATCAGGAAGTAAGTGGGTTAGGCGAGATGTCAGTTTCTTCCGTGGTTGAAGTCGAGGTGTGTATTGGTATCAATATCCCACGTAGGAAGCCCATATGGAGGATTGCACAGGAAAGTGACCCAGAATCATCACGAGAACTGCCTGCATGGAAAGACCGTGAGTATGAATCGGAAACAGTGCGATCACCAATTGAATATTTCAAATATTTTTTTGACTCGGATGTAATGCATCAAATAGTTGCGGAAACCAATATCTATGCGAGCCAAAGCGATCCCTCCAAACAACTAAACCTTGCAATTCCAGAATAGAGAAGTTTCTTGGTTGTGTCGTTTACATGTCTATTTTTCGTCTACCGAGTCAACGTATGTTTTGGGCTGTGGAAACAAAGGTTAACTGCGTTGCCAATGTAATGACCCGTGATCGATGGGAAAGCATAAAAAAAAGATGCTCCATTTCAATAACAACGATTTACTTCATGGCAATTCTGATGTTCAACAAGATCGATTGTTCAAAATCAGACCCCCGTTAGAAATGCTTAAAGCAAAATTCAAACCACTGCATCAAGAGCAAGTTTTATGTATCGACGAGCAGATGGTTCCGTTTACTGGGAGATCAGGGCTGAAACAATATCTTCCCAAAAAGCCCCACAAATGGGGGTATAAAATCTTTATGTTAAGTGGAACAGATGGTTTGGTACACAACTTTGAAATATATACAGGAAAGATACATCATGTGTCTGGTTACCCTGATCTCGGAGCTAGTGCTAACATAGTCATCAAACTGACTGATAATGTGGAGAATGATGTAAATCACATACTCTGTTTTGACAATTGTTTACGTCCATATCTTTGATGTCCGTTCTCGCCAAAAGGAAGATCTATTGTATAGGGACGGCGAGACAAAATCGGTTATTAGGATGCGAGCTGGAATCTGACAAAAATTTGAAAAAAGAGAGGACGGGGATGTTTTCAGGAATAGACGTCATGTGCTGAGGACACTGAAATAAGAGTTGTGAAGTGGCATGCTAAACGAAGTGTAACTATTGCCAGTTCGTTTGCCAGCGCCATGCCGACATCAGAAGTTCGAAGATGAAACAACGTCACGAAACAGCACATAATGGTGAATCGTTATTTTATGGTAGATTTTTATAACCATAGCATGGGAGGCGTAGACTTGTTAGATGCGCCTATAGCCTACTATAGAATACGCAATCGGTCAAAAAAGTACTACCTGAGGATCTTCTTCAACCTGGTTGATTTGGCTTTTGTAAACAGCTGGATCCTATACAGAAGAGATTGTGAGTCCCTGGGAGTTGCGAGTAACAAGCAGCGAGATCTTTTATCGTTTCGAAGTTCTGTGGCAGAATCTTTTTGCAAGCTTAAGAAAACATCCACTCCACTCAAGCGAGGCAGGCCATTGTTTACTACCCCACCACGAATCAGAAGCACAGCTACTCCACACCCCAACAATGAGGTTAGAACCGACGCCACTGGCCATTGGTAGAAGCTAAGAGACAGCGATGTCGTTTCCCTGGGTGTGATAGCAAGTCGGTAATCAGATGTACCAAATGCGGAGTATATTTATGCTTGAACAAAGCTAAAAAGTGCTTTGCGTGGTACCATGGCGTATATTAATGACCAACAGTACGGTCTACTGACCATTTTCGGTCGTCCGGTTTCGTTTATTTTGAATTGAATTTGTTATATTTCCATTTGTATCAGTCGCAATACGTGTGAGTATCGACACAATAAATTCATCACGTGGACGAGTGTATCGATTTCGTGACAAAAAATTTTCTCCCAAGTGGGGGGTAAGATAAAAAAAATAAGTTTAAATTCGTATTCTACGGCCTTGAATTAGCAAATAACCGAAGCGGCGATTTTTTTTCTCTCAGCGGATCATAATTCCGGCATTAAGTGGTTATTTCGCTAAGAGGTCGTACAATTCATAGAGGATTTCCCTTCAGTAGTTTATTTAGACAACTAGACCTACATGCATTTAGTCTCAAAATACTTGGAGTTGAAAAAAAAAATTGTTTTTTAACTATTTTTCAATTTTTTGAAAATATTTGCGTAATTTCTTGAAAATCACAAATGGGTCTTGTATCTTGCATTCACCAGGACAGGTATTGGAAGCATTAGATAAAAATATATGCTGGAATTCGAATGCGCCTGAGAGGGAGGCTCGCGTCACATGCATGGGCGTGTCAAACTTTTCTGCTACCCGGGGCGAGTTTCTGATAATGATGCCCCTCATACCTAACTTTAAAAACAATACGAGGGATGAACAAATTATTAGATGTTGTTATATATGAGAATGAATCAATCAAAGGTCATGTAAGAGTCAAATGTTTGTATTGTTATCTTTTCAATCATCAAATCATGCCACAAACTCACCCCTATAACGTGCTGCACTGAGCGGCCGCTCCTATGGCCCCCACCTAGACACTCCCCGGGTTACATGTTACACGCAACTTTAGATGTGGCCATTTCCCAATCCGCTGTTTTTGGTGAAAATTTAATGTCTTACCTTGTAGAACAGACCAAATTGTATTCAGTACGAAAAGTCGGACTTACGATTTATACCAAGGGTCGGCAAACTTTTGTTGCTCGCGGGCCAAAGTAAGGGTTGCAAGTCATTGGTGGGCCGCATATATTTTTAGAGAGGTTGAAAACCGAACGGATGATACCTTTTATAATAAAAATCAAGCATGCAGTGATACATCTCTCGAAAAGAATATATATATTTTTTTTTCCTTGCATTGCATTTCCCAAAATTCCATTTGAATATTTTCGGCATTAGCATCAACTTTTCTGCGTTTTGTTGCCATTTGTCCAATTATACTTAAATTATAGGCTCACTAAACGAGTAATTGTGAATTTTATATTTGTTAGATTGCAATATAATTTAGTCTACATGTGTCATCGTTATCAATGTACCCATCTTATCATGACTATCCAATAGATCTCAATTGATATTAATAAATTTGGACATTTTCTATCCACAAAAAAAATCTGTAATAGCAGATTTTGCTCGTCGTGTGGACACGTATAGCGATAATTTAAGCTCAGAGTAGGGAAGAAATTGGTTTGAAATGTTTTTTCATGAACTAGAAAAAGTAGTTTTTTTCGGGACTCAGAGAACATATAGCCCAATTCGTTGTAGAGTTGATTAATGTTATTGTTTATTAGTAGTAGTTTCATTGCGGTGGGGGTTTCAAGAAATTTGCTCATCACTTTGCTTTCATGATGTTGTTCCCAAACAACATCACAGAACCCCACGATGACGTCATCAACACGTCATCATTTTCAGTATATATGTTACTGACATCGTTAATACTTCATTTCAATACAAAATAGTTTTTTTGTTGTTAACGAAAAAGTCATGAATAAAAGGGTTAACTGTTCAAAACGTCGGGGTTCGACGGAAGCTTGCAAAATAACGCAGGGGTTTGACACGTTTGCAAAGGCGAAGAACCACTCTAGTAAGGTAATAAAGATAGAACACAATTTGCCTGGGATTGTTGAAATAATAGAGAAATATAAATGGCCAAAAATGTGATGCGTGTGAGGTCAGATTTAACAAATATTCTGGTTTATTTTTCATTCTCTCTGTGTTTCATACCCAACGTCTTTAAATGTTTATATGCGGATTGATTAGCAGCTTTCACTTCTAGAAGATAGCTCCTCGATATTTAGTTTTAAGAAAAGGCAGTGAAATCAGTTTAAGGTCAAGTGTGATGGTTCGTTCTCGATTAGTGGACTAGGAGAGTTACCATTTGCTGTGAGGGGTCAATATTCGTTACGAATTTATTTTTAATTTGTTCGCATTCCGTTAGTTCCTTTTCTCTAACGTAGGTAATATTATCTCCAAAGAGGAAAAGGGGTTAATTTTCTTCAACCGCGTTTGTTTCCGGTATTATATTATCAAGATCATGTTGTGTGTCTGTTGTCTAACTGTGCAAAAAAATAATAATAAACAGCATGGAGATAGATTTACTGAACGCGATAAATAAAATATAAATAATAATTTATAATATTTATAATAATTTTTATAATAATCCATAAATAAATTAAACCCAATTTGAAATATGAAAAACCTGTTTCGGTTCAAAAGCATGGTACAGCAGAAACATATAAAAATACCTCAGAAGCGACTGTAGCAAAAAATTCACTCTCAAATGATCTTCGATATCTAATATGACGAAATAGAATGAACTATTTGTCTTTTCTTATTTTGTTCATTTTTATTAACTCCATATTTAGATATATCTTTTGAATGTTTCGTTTTTTAATGTAGATGATTTTAGATGTTTTTTGAGGTCAAACTAGAAGTTTTTAGTCTAGCAAAAGTGGTAGCCTTGGTGTCGTTCAACAGTTTGATTTGCCTTGGATTTAGTTTATACCTTAGGGTTGCGCGTATCGTGAATCTCTCATATCAATTTAGCTCAGGTCCTATTAGGTGTTAGCAATTGTATCATTACTTATCGATTTTAATCGGTAAGTATGTTGATAGGTATTTGTCTGTCTGTATGTTTGTTTGTCTGTTAGATGCACGCGATATCTCACGAAAGCGAGATTGAATCTGCTCCAGATTTTGCATGTGCATTCATCTTATCTCGGACCAGTAGCCTATTGATTTTGGGCGAATTATGTCGTATAATTAGCGAGTTATTAATTAATTAGTGATGGGACACAGGGTGTCACTATGAAGTAAGAGCGCTGTTTTGGGATCCCCTAACTTTCGATCGATAAGTCTTCGGTCTCTGACCGATATTCTCGTTATTTTATTGCTCATTTCTCATTTGTAGTGCATCCGTATCGTTATACATTAGTTTTATCGTTAGTGTTCAAGTTTCTATGCTGTAACAACATTTTACTCGTTTCTTGACAATTGATGAATACAGTTCGTTTTCTAAGTATCTCGTTGCCTTTTTACTACTTTGGGTGTGCAGTTACTAGAGACTGGGAGATTGCGCATAATTCTACAAGACGGGTACGGGTGCAAAATAGGACTTATGCCTGCCCCATCCCATCCCATCCCATCCCATGGGATTCCAATCAGAATAAAATTCAATAAAAATTGTTAAATTTAGGTTTTTCGTCTACTAAATAGGACATGCAAAACAACAAAATTTACGGACTTTGTTAACTTTATATTCATAAACATTATACCCGTGTCCATCAGCCCCTTCGCGCTAATATGAATGAGTTAAAAAATTATGCGGCTCTCACATATTTCCATACTTGCTGTATGCGGCTCTTATACTAAAAAATTTTGCCCACCCCCTAGTCCAGTATTTTGTTTATCTCTTATTTTTAATTTTACAAATATAAATTAGTGTAAAATATGAGCCAGAAAATTCATTTCTGATTCCTCAGATGACGTACAATATGGCCAATATCCAAACCACTGGGTCTTCAAATTTTCAAACTCAAATAGTTCGAAGCAAATATATCACGACGGCAATCATTTACGAAGTTGTCAATTCTTTCATCAGATAGTTATCATCCCTTCGATTACGATGTGTAGTTGGCGTGAATTTTTTAAATATATTGAAACCATAGAATCTGTGAAATATTTGTCAAAATGTGGTTAAAAGTCCAATCTACCACATCGGCTGGAATTGAGCAATCTTCAATATAACTTTACTTATTGTAAATATATTACAAATGACACTCATTATGAATACCAGAGCAGATCAAAATTAGATAGATACCTTTTGTTATTCTCAGCTTGCTGGACTGTATCTGGCATTTTCACTCCGAGTGTTTCCGGAATGCAAATAATAACAATTATTCCACTCAAAATAGTTATCCCACCCATTATCCAATAAGGTATGGAGTATTCAATTTTACCTGTTAAAATCAAATTGCGTGTTCTGTTACTTACAGTGCCAAATAAGTAAAAATCACTTCGATCAAACCAGTGGAGTAGGTTTAATATTATATCATCACGTACAAACGTCGGACAGAGAAAAATATTAAAAGGAAAGATCATGTTAACTCAGAACTACATAAACAATAAACAATGAAAATCTGAACCAAGTCGAATTTCGGAAAACAGCATCATACACTACGATATTGCTGTACTTACTCAGAAACATTACAAATGGTGCGATAAACGCCCCAACACGACTACAGAAGGATGCTATGCTCATCGATGCACTTCTCTGTGGAGTGGGAGCTATTTCGGACGTGCTCAAGAAGATGATATAAAATACTGCGCTTACGGCACCTTTCCCGATTATTGAGATTATTGTTCTGAGCGTGGATAGTTCTAAATTTGACAAATATTGTAATAATAAATTCAGTAAAGACTTTATTAGATACTTCAATATGCTAACTGAAGCAAACAGTTTTCAATCGATACAATTGCCGGATTTGGGCTTTCAGGTAGCCTATTGATTTTCAATCATCCATATATATGTAGTATATGAGAGTTGTGCTCCAATTACAACGAAGCAGAAAATCATTCTCAAATTGATTTCATGGAATACTCAACTAACAACGTTTTTCAAGCCCTATGTATCCAACATAAACTGAACGTCTTGAACTATACACATTTATGTGCTGTGTGACAAAATGCTAATAGAGGACCAATATAATTGACAATAAGTTTTGTCATGCCACGTGCTTCGCAACAACCAAACCTTAGATACAATCATCATCATTCACCATTGTAACAAAACATCACATAGTTGATTTCATACGCAGGTTTAATTAAATATATATATTTCATATTTGGGACTATAAAGTTGGATATCGTTTTTTTTGAGCAAGATTCGTTGCAAATTGATTGTTTTCCAAACAAGAACGCAGCCCGCTGTGTAAATGCTGCCAACAGTGGAACGTTCAAACAGCTAACTAGGTAAATGTATTTATTCGTAAACATATAACAAAATCTAACCTTCGGGCAAATATGGTAAAATAATGGTGAAAACTCCACAAGTTAGCAAAAAAAAGATAGTGGATCTAGGGCGACCGATCATGTTAACAGCATAATAACCACAAAGATATGCAGGAAAGTCAGCAAATGCGCAATACAATATATTCAGGTAGCGATCATCACTGAAGCTTTTTGAGTGGAACGCTATTGCATAGTAAACGAGACCTGTCACGAACCTTGAGAAAATATAAAGCAAACTAATATTATGTAGTATTAAATAGATTGAAATTCGATTGCAATGGCGAAACCTTCAATATCTCGAACCTGATATTCCTTTACAAGACCTTTCTATCAGGATATTGTGAGCGGTGTGATATCAATGACGTTTCTGCAAAACTCCTGTTTTTAATTTCTACTTGGACTACCATCCTCGGACGCAATGGCAATACGGTAGGTAGTGATTGGAATATATTTTTACCGCAATTATCAATTTCAATTATTGCTCGGCGTGAAAATTATTCAAATTTCATTCATCAATTTATATAGACAAAACATTTTACTTACCATGCAAAAAAAACAGACAGGTATCTGTAGGTTAATGTAGATTTGAAAATTATGCGAAGCGTCTCTATTAGCCCTGAGGGTGATGCCGTTATTTCACGAGAAACAGCTGTATGTGTCTTAATTAAAGTACAAAGTTTTGTGAAAACGAGCTTCTGAGGCGTTAATAGATTAGTAATAAGAAAATATTAAACTGCTGTACTTTTCTCAATCTTTCGAAATTAACCTTCTTTCGGTTCATCTTTGCCATTTTGTTCAGTCCTGCGATTGCAGCATTTGTTCTACCAACTGTTGATAGCCAACGTGGTGATTCGGGAAACAACCTGCAAGGTATTATGTAAATGTGCAAAAAAGGAAAAAGTATTGTGATGATTTTAAAGTTAATCTGAATTCATGTTGTAAATCGCTACTTTTATATGAATAGTTTTTTTTGATAATGTTTGAGTTATTGTGTGAAGAAAACTAAATTTGGCGATTTTAATGCAGGGGTTTTGTTTTAAATTCGAAACTGGAGTAAGAAGCAAGAATGAAAAGCAGGCATGTTACCAATGTAGGGTTTTAAGATAACTAGAATGCTAAGAAGATGAGACATTCTCCCAACACCATATTGCTTGAAAAAAGTGAAATAGTGAAATTAACGTTTTCTTCCAAACAACCATACATTTACAACAGTTTAAGCAGAAGAAGAGCTGAATGTTAAAATGAAAACAAAAGCAATATACATAGTTAGTGTAGGAAGAGTGATAAATTGCCAAGTGTTACTTATTACAGACATACATACATACCAGTAGCCCGGTAGATATAGAAAGACACTGAGTACCATGGATACCCAATTGTAAGTACGCCAGTTTTGCGCATAATATCCAATCAAGGGAACAATAGCATATCCAATGGAAAATGAATACATTGAACTAACGGCCATAAAATTTCTTGACTCAATCGAAATAACTTCGGTCACTATAAATAAAATATTGTGAAATTTAATACAAAAATACAAACACACTGATGCACGTTTAGAAATAAATCTTACCTAGTACAAAAGCAACAACAAAATTGATGAGTCCTGTCATCCCAACAAAATAAACAGCAACCAAATATGAATAGAAATCCCAAGAAGCAGCCGTAACACCCATGGATATTATCTGGGCCAAAGACGCAAACAAGTAAACTGGCCGTCTACCATACCTTTAAAATTTGGCAATATTTTAATGATCGATTACACGTTATTATTTACATCACATAGTCTATTAAAAGAAATCATAGCAGTTCTTTAAATGAGTTTATTCCTCGAGTGGTTAATATTTTCGATATAGTGCACATTGGCGAATCAGCGAATGTACGAATATACCTGTCAGCAAGTATGCCAACTATTGATCCACTTGCCACTCCCGATTGAAAAACTGTAATTGCTAAAGGTGCTTTCCAATCATTGTTGCAAACCATTTCAAACTGGAAATTAGAATATAGAAATTTAATTTTTAGTTGGGTATATAAAGAGTACAATTTAAAATAAATATCACATACCTCAGTAACTGAAGTATCATGATTCGGCAACATATCAAATATATATCCTTTCGTACATGGTATGATGTCAACAGATTCATTGAAGTTTATGAGAGACAATGCCTTAGAATAATTTCTGTGATACATGTGGCAATTACTTTTACTTACCTTTCCATAATTATCGGGTTCCATAGGTATAAAAAAGTCGAACAGATTTTCATTACTGTTTGAGTTCTGAGAAAAAGATTCAATTAGTTATCAAAGTTGCTTGTGTGGGAATAAAAAAAAATATTAAGTCAAATTGGTATGTAATTTATAACATTTCGGTACTTCTTGAATTTCAATTCTGCCGAAACGTAAGTTTAGTCCTAGTCTAGGACAAATGAAATTCGTTGCTTAATAACGAGATTTGCTAATGGTTGTATGTCACATGTCGGAACTTACGTTTTTCAATATGTTTTCAATTTCATCAGATAATCTACATCGATGGCTTGGTTGGAAATGGATGATGGCAAACTGCAACCCCGTAAAAGCATTTGGCAAAGAAGCGGCCATCACAATGATAAAAATCACTGTTTGGTAACGTCCCCACTTCCCCAATTGATGGAATGCTTCGTCGATATTCATTTTCTTATGTCATAAATTGTATACTAAAGTCAACTAGCTATTGTGATGAAAAAGATTTATCTAGAAATATCAGAATGTACATACGGTAGTGATTGTTTAAATTTAAATATTCACTCTATTAAAAAGATACACATAATGTATACATTTTAGATGCAAGTAATATACAGTTCTAGTGCATCAACGCTCAGGAAGTAAATTTTTCAGAAATTAAAATAAAGTAAACTCATTGAAAAGAAAACGAGAATATCGGCCGGAGACCGAAGACTTATCGATCGAAACTGCGGTTTCGATTCATGACTCTATAGTGACACCGCGTGTCCCATCACTAATTAATTAATAACTTGCTAATTATACGACATAATTCATCCAATCAATAGGCTTCTGGTCCGAGATATGATGAATGCACATGCAAAATTTGGAGCGGATTCAACCTCGCTTTCGTGAGATATCGCGTGCATCTAACAGACAGACATACAGACAAATACCTATCAACACACTTACCGATTTTAAGATCAATAAGTAAAAAGTAAACTCATTGAAGAGCAACAATTTTTCAAATATAGACGCACATTCCGTATCCGACACACGACTGTGTTATGAGAGCATTCGATATTCACGGGAACGGTGATGGATCAGAAGAAAGTAAGCAAACTATGGAACAATACGAAGCTCCTCGGCGAGCTCAAAGTTATATTTATACTATTATGTATATTATATACATAGTACCATGGACACCAAACTCATGACTACAGTGTATATAATATGATGCATTTATACTTTGGTCTAGTGTTTCAGGGCAAGACGTTTTTTGTCCCAGTAATACCAACATCAGCATCTTTAAACGCAATGAATTAGCTTAGTCCAAAGAACAATATTATATGTTTCAAATAATACTGTAAACGTATACGTGGTGAACGTTTCCAGTCCAATTTTATACTTTTTTCTTCATTTAATTTTAATCATTTATTTATTATACTGCCGCAACAATAACATGCTAGACTTTATACCACAAACTACGTCAACTATGTACGTTCTTCTACAATGTTAAATTCGCATAAAAGCATGAAAACTTAGTTTAGCGTGAGCTCATGTATCTGCAAAGCGTTCACAGGTTACCACCTACTTTACCCAAACATCTAACTTTCTTCTATATGGCCTTTCCTCCTTCACTGGAATGTTTTAACTTCGTTGAGCGTAAAACTTATGTGCAGTTAATATATGATATATATTAACTGCATTTTCAAAAGTGCTAGGACGAAATATGAGAAAGTCTGCAGAAGCAGTGTTTTTGTTGTAAACTTTAGTCAGCATAGAATTAGGAATGAATTCTTTTTCAACACGGGATCGAAGTATATTCAAGTTTCTCAAACATCTAATATATATATTGATTTTAGTTTATATCTAAATATACATGTCCAATTCTTTGCTTATGCAAAAATACCCGAACTCCTGATATTAAGTCTCTAATAGGCATTAAGTATATTCGATGTTACTAAATCCATCCACAGTGAAGCACATTATGATATTTGGAATTGCAGTAAAAAATTTCTTTATTTCCCCGAGACTACACTATGCATTTACTGTAATTCGTGTACATGACGCTTTATCAATATTCCCAAGCATCAAACATTCCCAAGAAATAGAAAATAAAAAACTGTGGGAAATTTTTGGTAAATCTTGGCCAAAAGCGATAAAGGTTATTATAATTTGCTAAAAAGATCCATAGTATGTTTTACATGATGAAAGATTTATTAACATCTTGTATTGCAAGAAATACTAAAATACTACAAACTACCAGTCAAATGAGCACATTTTGTTACAGTATGTTGATTGTCACTCCTTAATATTTCTATGTTATCAATGTTTGTAGGTTATAATGTTCATAAATACAGATATGTGCAATACTTTATTTTAACGCCTTTCATAGAAGAATGGCTGCAATAATTTTGCAAGCGACTGGAAAATATGTGACTTACGTGGCCTATTATATTTCTTACTACTTGCAATACAAACCTTAACTTCATTTGATAATCATTTTTAACGAAATTCACATCAATGAATAAGGTGATGATGTGCTATCGGTTGGGTTTCTACAAGACTAACTACTTCTCCGTCTTCTATGCTTTTACGCCAGTGGATCCGTATGTATATAACGCAAGGATACTGTAGCAAAAGTGAAGATAACTATCCTAAGTGATTCAAGAGCCTTGTTGCACACTATCACAAATATATTTTTATAACGTTTCTTCTGACCAAAGTCAGACTTCCTCAGACATACATAGTTCAACTTAATACAACCAAATACTCCAAGGAAAATGACAGAAATATATTAACATTTGTCATCAATGACTTTTGCATGCGCTTTGGATGTCTTGTTACTGCACTCTATGTACTATTTTCAATTTTACTGGCGTATTTTAGTCCCAATGAATTGACTTGGTAATTCATTTTAAAGTTAATGGATCTTTTGTACAAGACCCATTAACTTGTAGATCAATGCATATGAATATCGAATGCTGGGTCGATTGTATTGTAATCATGAATATTGGTCGAAAATGGTCAATGGTCAATTGCAGAGCTGTTTTCATTAATTCGGGTCGACTTTCACACCATGGGATGAGCAGATTTCATCATCTCATAGAATTCGTCTACAACCTTAAAAGATCGTAATCCGTCTACTTCCATTTGAACGTAATTTAAAATTTTAAAATCAATTAAAAAATTTCTCTATCACAGAAAAAGGGAATTCCGAATATACCAATACGTCAAGTAGAATTCCCACAAACCCAAAAGTCAGATTAGGTATGTACATACTGGCTTGCAGAAATGCCGTTTTTTTGTTTGTTGTGCAATACCCAGAATACTGTAAATTTATTGTGCGCCTTAGCTTGTTTCAAGCAAGATTTTAGATCGTCACTGATGTAATTTTGTAGCTGATAAAGCATTTTAACCTGAAAGCGACCCGCGGGTCGCAAGCTTGACACCCCTGTCATAGATTTCATGCAGAACCCGGCTATGTCACTTACCTTTTTGTTATATCTTGGTTTTTTGACTGACTTCTTGAATGAAACAAAGAAAATAATGGTAAATTGCATCAATTTTAATAAATCTAGCCTGACATGTGTTCACTACTACTGATGTCCAAACAATGTGAAAAAGCGCGGAGAGTCACAATTGCTGGATGGCTGCTAAGTGCTATGACCATCGGCATACGTAGCAACCGCCCTTAATTACGATCGTTACATATGTAGTACAATTTTTATATGAAACGCCAGTTCACTAAGTTAACAATTTCCTTCTCCGCGTAATTAAGCTGTTGTTTTTGTTCGACTGGAATTTTTTAAATATATTGAATCCATAATATATTATTTGCAAAATATTTAGTAAAAAATGAATAAAAACGCCGCATAAAACTCATTGAAAACCACTTAATAACCACATAAAATATAAACACGCGCTATTGATATGTACCGTTTGTTACTTTAGCTTGTTGAATGTATCTAGTATTTTCACTCCCATTGTTTCCGGAACGCAAATGATACCAGTAATTCCGCTCAGAATTGTTATTCCATCCATTATCCAGTTAAGTATGGAATATTGAATTTTGCCTGTATTAAGAGAGTAAATGTATTTGAAAATTTTTGGATTACCCAATTAACAATTGATGAAAATTGCCATGGAATAGAACATTTGGGTATTGATGAAACTTGCATTAAATTGAAATGTAATTGGCTGTTCATGGCGTTTCGGTAGTGGGGAGTTCAGCCGAATTAGTAAGTTTGGAATGCAGAATCTTTCGCTACGAATGACTGAGAATATGACTCAGCAAGACACTGATGTCATCCAAAGATCGAAGCAAAACTATATTCTAATCTAGATGTTGCCAAATAACATTTTGATCAACGCTACAATTTGGGACGTGCACTACTGGGTGTTGTGGCATATAACGTCAGTGTCAATGCTAGCGCAGGGATGAATCTATACTGGTATAACGACTTCTGTCTTCGGGTAGATGGGATGTATGGCTATCCACGACAATCTCGTTCCATAGGCCTAAACGTCATTTTTATTTGCGAAATTGCAAGGGGCACTTGTCTCACTTAATAGATGGTATGTACAGCAATATGCCGAGAAATATTTATCAACAATGAGTACAAGATTGAGATGTAGGTCCTTACTATTGTTGTCTGTGAGGTTTTCGAAAAGGAATATACTCCAATAAAACGATACAAATATTTAAATGTCTTCGCAAGTTATTGTCGCAAACGCCAGTCAAAGTTCTGTCTTCAATCAACTCATCTTTGAGATCACCAAATTCACAAGACTAGGTTTTATTTTTCAAGTCTGACACAACAAATTGAATAGATTCCTATAGCATCCGTGATATCAGGTTTCTTTAATATCTTGTTAGTCTTAATTTGACCTAGGAAGGCATATTTCAGAAAATAATCTACATTAGCATGTTTTGTTAGCAAGGTTAACGAGGTGGAGTTTTTTTTTCAATTTCGACAAATTAGTTGATAGAATTTAAAATTGATTTCATTTTAGAACAAGCAATTTGAATACAAATTGAAAAAATAGTTCACAACTGAATCCGACCCCGCATCCAAAAACATTCCATGCCAAGTACCATCTCCCTCTCAAGGGTAAACTTATATATTTTATATATGTATAACTAAATATTTGGATACAACCAGGGCACAAAGAACTGCATACGTCGGTAAAATACGTAATACTAAAACAAACCAAGTACATAGATTCGTGGATGGATGGATTGTTTACAAAGTGACAGTAATCAATGAACTCGTTATTGTTTTAGCAGGGGTGTGGAAACTTCGGCCCGTGGGCCAAATGATGTCAGCAAGGAAAAATTGTGCGGCCCGCGGAATACGAAGTGCGGCTAAAAAGAAACGGGACTGACGTCACAGATTGCGCAACACGATTAACCATCGGTAATCAACACTTTTGCAGTGTGGCGTAATATTTGTTCTTTGTTTAACAGCTGTTTTGACACAATATCGCAACTATTTTCGTTTTTCAGGATCCATAAGTGAATGTGATAAATTTATTGTTGAAAAAAAAAAAGGTTCTGGACATGGAAGAATCTCCATAAACATCACGCAACATCTGCAAAGTCTCAGTCGCCGTTTT